GGGCTTGGGGCCACCTTCCACAAGTTCCTTGGGTCCTGCCCCTGCTTGGCCGTTTACTGCTTGGTTTTCGGCCACTCTTTGTGTGCTCGGGTGTTCTGTCTCCCTTGTTCGCCTTAGAGAAAGGGGAAGTTTTTGCACTGGTGGGGCGCAGGGTACTGTGCAGCTTGTCTTTACCAATCATAGCGGCCGGCTCTGTTCCGCTTGGGTATGCTGTCCTCTTGCAGGGTTTTCTTTTTCTTTTTGTTTATCTACCTGGTGGGGGGTCTGCCTTCGTTCTTGCCCCTTGTGTTCTGAGTATTATCTGGTGGTACTCCCTGCTAGGTCCCCGTGAGTGTACACGTCCCGGGGGTTCAGCTCTTAGAAAGTTGTTTGGTAGCTTTGGGTGCCGGTTAGCAGTACCCTGCCTGGGATTACCTGAGCGCGAGTCCTCTTATAGTAAACGCTCAGGACCCTGGGAAACCCCTGGGGGCGCACGGGTCCGATGGATGTGACCCCAGAGTCCCCCCCCCTCGCTTCCAGCGAGTTTGAGGGTTGCTCTCACCCTTTGTCTCTGGGTGACTCTCTGTTTTGCCTCCGTCTGCTGCCTGTGGGGTCGGTGACACCTTCGACCCAGAGTCCTGCGAGTTTGGTTGCTCGTTGTGGCTCGGTTACCCAGTTGTGCTAACAAAGCGGGTGCGGGCAGCAGGGGCGTTGCACTTGAGCCTTGGTGGTGGCAACGTTCTCGTGGTTTCCTCTGCGGGAGCCCCGGGGCTGCCCCGTTGTAGTTCGTTTTGGGACTTGGGGGTGTTGGTTGCTTCGGTTCCATCCACGCCCCCTTGTCTTTCCCCTGGTTCACCCTTCCTGCCTGCATCCGGTTCCTTACCGTCTGTAGGTTCAGGGCGGGGTGTTTGGTGGTGTTGAGACTCGGGCAGTCTCGGGGAATTCCCCTTCCGGGGTAGTGACAGGGGCATTTGAGCCTGTTCCTCCAGCCGTGTTGTATGAGTCTGCCAGTGGGCTCCCTTCCTTAGTGTTTTCACGGCTGCCCCGGTTTTCTGGTACGGCCGGGGCTTTGGGGGAACAGCTCGGCCCCGGGGCCTGTTGTGTAGGTTCCCGGGGCTGGGGAGGGGCTGACTTGGGGGGCCTTGGCCCCGTTGGACCCCGTGGGGGTTTTTATCCCCCTCTTGGCGGGGCTTGTGGTTACGCGGAGTAGGGTCTTTCCTCCCCACTCGCCGTATGTGTTGTTGGGCGTCGGCCCCTCCCCGGGCTCGGTTCCTTGGCCTTTGAGTCGGTTGGTTCCGTCCTGTGGGTGGATGTTTCCTCCCACCCCTTTTTGGGACGGTGTTTTCGTCATGTTTCCCCGTTCGATGGGGTTCTGCGTGACTTCTGATCTCGGGTGCGCCTGCGCCTTCGTGTGCCTTCGGGACTAGTGTTGGCTTCTGTGTTCTCGAGGGTACGGGAAGGTTTTTCGCTACTTCCCGCATTATTGGAACGTCTGTCGGCTCCTAGTCGCCCTGTTGGTCTACATGTCGCCCTGTTGGGCTACTTGTCGCCCGGTTGGGCTGCTTGTCGCCCGGTTGGGCTACTTGTCGCCCGGTTGGGCTGCTTGTCGCCCGGTTGGGTTGCTTGTCGCCCGGTTGGGCTGCTTTTTGGGCTCTTTGCTTCTTTGGCCGGTTTTATTGTTCCTGCTTCCTCTTTTGGCTACTTTTCTCGTGCAGTAGTCCTGGCTGGCGCCTTCCCGCAGAGAGGGTGTGCAGTTCGGCCAGCGTCCTATGCGCATGCGCCGTGGAGTTTGTTTTGGTCTGGGCGGTGTTTCAGTGCTGGTGTTTTGCGCCCTTTTTTGCTACAGTGCTTCGCCTCTCGTTCTTCTCCCTGGCTGCGGTAGGTGCCCCTTCGCGCCAGGGGTGTCCTGGTTCCCAGTTGTGGGGAGGACACCGCGATTTTCCCTGTGTCATGGGTGTGGACCGCCTTCTTCGCCTCTCCCTGCTCTCCTGCGGGTCCGGCAGGGTCCGGCTCTGGCGTCTTCACCTGGCGGTGCTCCCAGGTTCTTCTGGGCACGGTTGAGTCGTGTCAAGTTTGTGCCACCGTTCGCCAGGTGAGTTTCTGCGGTCTGGCGTCTTTGGCCGGGCTCTGGATGCGGAGTTGTTTATATACCTGTCTTTATTTAGGTATATTTTTGTACGACTGAGACCGTTCGCACACCAGTGACTGTCCCTTTTTCAACCCTTCCTGTCCCCCTCATGTGCATGTCCAACCCATGCTGGAGTCATTCCGGGGACCCTCCTTTTTTAATGTTGTGAGGTGTGGGGGTTGTAGGGTTGGTTCTGTACTCACCTGGTAAGGCTCCTGGCTGTGCTTGCAGGATTTGAGCTCTGGCTCTTGGGTCCCGCCTATCTGGTAGAACTTGCGGGATATTACCAGTGGAGTGCAGTGGTGCTATGGGCACAATTGGGGAACACTGTATTACCATCAGAGGTCTGTGCTTGTTACAGGACCTACTTGCGAGCATAAGCCTTCTTGCTGGTTCGTCCGTGTACTTCCAGGGCGCACTAGCTTGTTTTCGTATGGCAGTTCCGGCCCGTCCTGGTTGTGGGGGTATGTGGGCCGGTGGACTGCTCCTAACAGCTGCCTGGTGGGCCACCCTCTGGCCGGTCTAGCCTGGCCTTGGGCCGGGCTTGAGGTGTAACAGAGCTCCCAGTACCTCATCCAGCAGGTATCGAGTGGGGTTTCTCCGCCGTCGGTCGCCTGGTGCAGGTTTCTGGGCCTGCGAGGTTTTGTCGTGTCTCCGTTGGCCCTGTCTGGGGTCTGCCTGCTCCGTTCTCTGCCTTTGCAGAAGGGAGTTGCTATTTACATGTTGCATGTTGCAGTGGTGCCTGTTGCTGCTGCTGCACGTGTGCAGTGGTACCGTGTTTCACGGTGGCGTGTCCTTGTTCCTGTTTCCGGTTGTGGAGTGGCACTTTGCTGCCGTTTTGTGCCTGGGGATTGCGTGGGGGTTTTTCTGTCCCTGCCTGATTGTCCACCCCTGGTTGTTATCCTGGGGTTTTTGTGCTTCTGCTCTTTCTTCCTGCCTCCTCTGCAGCAGGGGTGTTCTTGGGCGTTTTTCAGCCTGTGTCCTGTGATGTGCTTCTTTGTCTCGGTCTATTGCAGTTGTTCGTACCCCTTGGTTCGGGTACTGTTCTGGCGGAGACCCTTCCGCCTTCTTTGGTTTCCTAGCTTGCCCTGCCGGTTTTTTTTTGGGGGGTCTTGCGATGTCTCGCGTCGGACCCGTCGTTTCTGAACTCCTGGCGGGCTTGCATGCTTTGGGGAGTTTTTCTGTTCGGCAGACGTTCCATCTCCTTGTGCCGCCTGGGTTTCGGTGGTCGCCGTGATCTTCCCGCGGCTCCGCCTTTTCCTGGGCTCGGAGGGGCCTTGTTGGGGCTGCTTATGTTCTGCCTCGCGGTCTCGCCTCCGGTTGGTGGTCGGGTGGCTTCGTGGTAGGTGTCCCACCTGCGTGCTTTTCTTGGCGGCAGTATGGGGTATTTTGGCGGTCCTTCCTTTTCCTGTCCCTTCTTAGGTGGTTACTCTTGTTAGCTTGGTTTACTCTCGGCTTGGTTTTCTGGTGGGGGTTGGGGGCTGTCGTCTTGCCACATACTGTCCCCTCTTTTCGTGCGGCGCTGGCGGAGTCGCTTCAGCTTGCTTTCGGTCTTGGTGTTGCTTCTGCACCGTTAGTCAGCTGTCTTGTGCGTCGTTTCACCTCCGGCCTGTTTGTGCGGCGCTTGCACCATCCTGGTCTCTGGTCAGCGTGCTCTGTCTTCTCCTCAGTTGTTAGTGCCCCTTCGGTTCCGGTGTGTTTTTTCGTCGGCTCTTTCCTTTTCGCCTTTGCCTCTGGGGGTCGAGTCGCTGAGTTTTCTTGCTCCTTCGGTTTTAGCGTTTTGGTGGTTCGGTGGCAGCAGTCTCTATCTTTTCTGGCGCGGGGTGGGGCTGCTGCGTTCTGGAGGGGTCCAGAGTTTGTTGGTGCTTCGTTGGTCGGGCCGGGGGTGTGTCGTTTTTTGTGTTCAGTGGCGGCCCTCCGCTGTTGTTTGCGTGCCACGGCGTTTGGGTCCGGAGCGCGTTTTGCGTTGATCCGGTTCTGTTCTTCCCGGTTCGCGGGTGATAGTGTCCCGGGTGGTCAGCCGTGTTCTTGCGGCTAAGCTACCTGTGTTCTTCCCTCATGCCTGTGGCGTTTGTGGCTTCGCTGCCGTCTGGGCGTTTGCTGCCGGTTGTCTCGCCTCTTTGGGGGGTGCATGGTGTCCGCCTCCCGGTTCTGTCCCTTTGACCTTTCTCTGTGGGTAGTTAGCTCCGGGGAGCCGACAGGGCTTCCCCCAGAAAACCAGCGTTGAATGTAATGAAACGCCATTTTCTGGGTGAGACCCGGAGGCTCCCCGGCAACCCTCCCTCCCTCCGGTCGGCGTTTTTTTGCGTGTTTTGACATCCAGCCTCAGAACTGATGAGTGGATAGCCGGCGTGGGAGGTCTGGGGCTCCCCCTTCCCCCTCCCGGGGAGGGGGGAGCTGCGCAGACAGCGGCACGGTGACGTATGACGTCATACTAGTTTCCTTGTTTTCTGTTGAAGAGTTCTATCCACTAGTTTGGCTTAGGTAGCAATTTTCACCAGAATAGGGGTTTGTTTTGGAATGCTTACCTTTCTGGATGCTTGACCCGGTCGACGGCAGACATAGAATGCTTCCAACCACACGGGGGTTTCTATAGGCCATTGCTCCCCTTGCCTCTCTGAGGGGGCCAGGTTCTGGCTCGTGGTCCCCGGTAGGCCCTAGAACTCCATACACATGACTGATGCCAAAGTCTGACATTAGCATATCAGCCGGTAAAGCTCCAGGGAGCCTCCGGGTTTCACCCAGAAAATAGCGTTTTATTACATTCAACGCTGTTTTTTTACTGCATTTTTCTGCATGAATCGGTGGTGTCAGTGTCTGGAAGACAAATCTTGTCTATCCATCGAGCCCTCCTCTATTATTTTTAAAAGGAATTTGGAATCAGAGATACAAGTAGATTAATGATTAATATGTTACTCTGGTATTCACAGGAGGAGGAAAGTTTAAAGTTGGAACTGTGTGAACTGGAACAAAGCATAGAGACGACCAAGGGCCAAATTGCTACGTCCGTAGAGGTCATGGAGCAGTACCAGGCACAGCTCAATGTTCTTGAAGAGGAAGTTGCAAGGGCCAAGGTGTGTACAGCTCCTCCTCAACAGTCAAGTACTGTGCTCCAGAATGATTGAGAGTGGAGCTTAATGCTGTCTGGCTCCTTGCAATTGATCACATTTTTTTTTGCTACTGTAAATGCTGTTTCCCTTTTGTGAATAATTTTGTCGTAAATTTCATATTGTACCATTAACTTCAAAATGCTAAGTATTGATGGCAAGAAATAATGTTTCATCAACAATCTGAACAAAATTTAGTTTATGTAAATTAAGTAATGTATTTAAGACATTGCATTTCCCAACTCGTTCTTTAGAATGCAGATTTTTTAATTATGTTTATTTTACAGAGTGAGGTTACTGCAGCTCAGTCAGCTGTGAAGGAACAAAAGGAGATGTTACAAGCACAAAACAAGGAAATTAATGCTATGACAGCACGTAAGGAACAGATCATCAAGAATAGCGATGAAGCCCAACTTGAAATCAAACAGCTTGATCATAAACTTTCAAAACTGAAGTCCGAAGCAAAGGATGCTGAAAATAAGGTGAATATCTTTATATTCTTAATTCAAGTCTTGGATATACAGTGGGCTGTCTGGAAATGTGTCCATTAAACATAAAATATGACACAATACAAGAGTAGGTATTGGGCACAACCATCTAGTTGCCTCTCGGTTGTCACACTGGTGGTGTGTGCCAGAGTGAATTGCCTCCCAGCTCCATACCTGGTTCATGGGGTTCTGGAAGTTCTTCTACTCCCCGAGCCCGACCCGAGGCCAGTCTTGACTTGTGAGAGCTTGGTCCACAAGGCTGTTGCTTGGAGCGGCCCGTAGGCGCACATATACCTGCTTGATGGGGTTCTGGGAGTTCTTCTACTCCCCAAGCCTAACCCGAGGCCAGGCTTGACTTGTGAGAGCTTGGTCCAACAGGTTGCTGCTTGGAGCGGTTCGCAGGCCTACATACCCACTACAGCCTGGTTGGTCCAGCACTTCTTGAAGAAAACAATCTAGTTTTCTCTTGAAGATATCCACGGTTGTTCCGGCAATATTTCTTATACTCGCTGGGAGGATGTTGAACAACCGTGGACCTTTGATGTTTATTCAGTGTTCTCTGATTGGGCTTATAACACCCCCATGGGCACAATGTGAGATTCTCACACTCTTCAACCTCACCATACTTGATAAGAGCAGAATTCTTTATAATTATTTGATATTTTTGCCCAATTTAAAATAAAAGTACCTGTACATCAAATTGTTCGCTGGTGAATGCTCATTTATTACCCAAAACGAAGATCATTTCAATAAATTCAGTATTAAACCAAGATTGATTAAGATGGGCTTGTACTTAACTAATGGTTCTTGAGGGTTATTATGAAGATATTTCACTATACAACTTAGAATAGTAAGTAACATCCCAAAACAATAAATGCCAAAAAGTCCCTTGGGAGTTGCCAGGAGCTTGTAGGTCAAACAAAAGCCTCCATGCAACAAATTGACTTTGTAGTTCATTCAAGCCTTCACACACTACTATGATTGTACCATATTTCACTTACTATGATGCTAATTCAAATTGAAAATTTTCGTGGTTTGTTGCTTTACAGTAGTCAGGTAGAGTGCCACTATATCTTTAACCTCTTTTATTTTTTGTAGCTTCCATTTTTGTGAATTCCCTGTTACTCCACTTAAGTGGGGATAGGGTGGGTCATTAGCATACATCAGCAGCAGCAGGAATGTCATGCCAGCTCCCATGTCTCGTGTGTTGAATGTTCTCTATGTAGGAACTGTAATGATGGTACAACTACAGTGCAGTAGTGGACACTGACCCCAATGATGGTACAACTACAGTGCAGTAGTGGACACTGACCCCAATGATGGTACAACTACAGTACAGTAGTGGACACTGACCCCAATGATGGGTGTGAAAAATACAGTGGCACCTTGATTAACGAGTTTAATCCGTTCCGGCACCGAGCTCGTCGTGTGGAAAACTCGTCTTGAGAAACAACAAAACTGTCGTAAAAGGTGTCCAAGAACCAGTGGAAACACTCGTTAATTGAGGAAAAGCTCGTTAGTAGAGACAAATGTTCTGCGAGTGGCTCGCTCGTTGCTTGAAATGCTCGTAGATAGAGCCGCTCATTAATCGAGGTGCCACTGTATAAAATATCTTCATACAAGCTCAAGAAGAAAAATTCATACCTTTACTTCTAATTGAGGTAAAACCTTCATGTTGAGCTGATTTTGAAGCTAAGGAAGCATTGTTTTCATTACAAGTAGTTTTACATTAAATATTTAATATATTCATTTCAAGATCACATGATGCAACCTGTAACTGCAAATATATTAAGCACTGTATGGCAACAACTATCTTCATGACTCCCACTGTTGTAACTCCCAGTGTATATACTGTTGCTGGTCAGCTTATTTTTAGTAGTTCAAAGCTCCAGTGTAGCCATAACAATATGTATCTTAAATTTTTTGGGAAAAAAATGTTATGCAGTTGAATTCATTCTCTTTGGTATAAGTTTTATTTTGGGGTGGCTTTGGGGGAGAAGTAAAAAACAGTCATGACAGTTGTATACATCACCATTTTTGGGATATACAGGACAGATATGGATGCCTGGAATATATTAACAAATATCCTGGATAACTTATCATCTGGTTATAAAACAACTTTCTCCTGGAATACATACCAACTATTCAGGCAGACTGGGGATGAACAGTAATGTGTAGAGGCAAATGCTGCAAAAACCGAAATAATAGTCAGTACAAAAACAGAGAAAAGTAAACTTCGATTCATTATATGCAAATAAAGATAATGGCAGAAAAGAATGTTTAACAGTACACGCGGACAAAGATGCCGGCAGGCAGGAAAGTGTTACACAGCACACATTGCAAAAGACTTTGATGGAAATGACAGACTGGAAAGACAAACATTCAGATAATGTGCAAAGGGCATTTGCAGACATATTCTGGAAAGAGAAAACAGATTATATTGCAGTTACCTTCATCCCAGAAAATGTCGAAATACAGTTAAGAAGGGAAAATGTCGTTTTGGATCAACATGCAGGTACAGTATATGCATCCTGACACGCTAAATTTCATTTGAAAAAGTGACAGCAAACAGGAAAATGACCTTGGAGGAAAGTCGGATTGTTTTTTAGACCCAGAAGAAAGAGATTGTAAAAGATGAAATGGGGTGTGGAGGGTATGGGAACTGGCGGAACAGAAGGTTGTGTCTGACAGAGGCCTTTTGCTTAAAGGGAAGAGGGTTTCTTACCCCCGTCCCTGTGTGATTTTGATCCTAATGCAGCTACCCATCCCTCCTCCCTGGGGCTTAGCACAACTTCTGTTGTGTTAAGTAGTGCCACCTCTACTCCAACAAAGTATCCTAGAGTAGAGGTGGAGCTTTAATATTTCTCCTAGTGGTGGCCTGAGGCCGATTGGTTTGTTTGGTGTGTTCATTTTGAGGTGAGTGGAAGGTGAGAGGTAGTTTTTGGTTATGGCTGCCTAACTGTAGTGGTAGTAACATTACTAATGGTTGTGGCCTTATGGTTGAGCTACAGGTAAAATTACTACTGCATGATGACCAAACCACACACCAGACGACGAAGAGAGACAACGTTTCTTCTTTTTTCATCTTCTGGTGTGTGGTTTGGTCATCATATCTTGAGCCACGTTATTGTGACTCATCATCTGCTTACTACTGTATGCTTGAAGTAATTAGATCAATTTTTGTCCCTTATGAGCAACTATGCTATCTGTGTGATGGTTTTTATTTACACTTTGTCTCTTCCTTCCTTGTAACCATGGTAACGTATTTCTGAATGATGTCTTATGCCTCTCAGGTTGCTCAGATGCTCTCTGAACATGAATGGATATCAGAGGACCGCAAGTTCTTTGGCCAGCCCAACACTGGTTATGACTTCACAGCTAATGATCCAGTGGAAGCTGGACGCAAAATCACCAAATTAGAAGAACTCAAAACCAAATTATCGAAAAATGTAAACATGAGAGCCATGAACATGTTGGGAAAAGCCGAAGAACAGGTAACTTTTCAAAGTATTGAGCGTGTGTTCATATGGAATAAGGTGCATGTAAATATGAGCAACGACAAATACAAACAAATACTGTTATATTTTTCCCATTTATTGTTGTTTTTATACTTTATATACCTGTGTGTGTGAAATTTAGTAATATTTTCCTGAAACACTGACAGTAAGCACTGCACTGTTTAGAGAAGTGGTGGGGAATACTAGGTTAGGTAAAAAATAACTCGTGTACTTGGAAAATCACATTACTCTAAAACTTATAAATATGTATACATATACAGTATATTGCTGTTTAAATCTACATTTTCTGGAACACACATTGTATTTAATTTTCTAACCACCAGATAGATATTTCCAGACTGTAAGTCTATAGCTGTGTGCAGAACTGTTCTCGGTGTGTGATCAGTTCAAAATATAGTGGGCAGGAGCTTAAGGTGGAAAATTCAAACCAAAATAGCCGTGCCTTACAATGGGAGGTTATCTTGAGATGATTTCGGGAACACCCAGGTACCTATTTTAGTGCTAGGTAATGGGCATAGGGTGAAAGAAACTCTGCCCATTGTTTCTCTCCGGCGCCCGGGATCAAACCTGAGACCACAGGATCACAAGTCCAGCGTGCTGTTCACTCGGCCGACCGGCTCCCAAGATAGTAATAGTAATGATATACACCCTACATTGGCTGTTAGAGTACCCAGATGACAGACATCATGCCAACTATTACTCTAATACAATGAGCATTTGTCTCTTATAAGAATGGTTTCTAACTACTAATTATAGAAAGACTTTAACTATAAGATAGAATGGGAGAACAAAAAAACATATGTGAGCACAGATAACACATTACAGCACCTTGTACATGTGACCCTGTACACATTACAGCACCTTGTACATGTGACCCTGTACACATTACAGCACCTTGTACATGTGACCCTGTACACATTACAGCACCTTGTACATGTGACCCTGTACACATTACAGCACCTTGTACATGTGACCCTGTACACATTACAGCACCATGTACATGTGACCCTGTACACACTACAGCACCTTGTACATGTGACCCTGTACACATTACAGCACCATGTACATGTGACCTTGTCCACATTACAGCACCTTGTACATGTGACCCTGTACACATTACAGCACCATGTACATGTGACCCTGTACACATTACAGCACCTTGTACATGTGACCCTGTACACATTACAGCACCATGTACATGTGACCCTGTACACATTACAGCACCTTGTACATGTGACCCTGTACACATTACAGCACCATGTACATGTGACCCTGTACACATTACAGCACCTTGTACATGTGACCCTGTACACATTACAGCACCATGTACATGTGACCCTGTACACATTACAGCACCATGTACATGTGACCCTGTACACATTACAGCACCATGTACATGTCACCCTGTACACATTACAGCACCTTGTACATGTGACCCTGTACACATTACAGCACCATGTACATGTGACCCTGTACACATTACAGCACCATGTACATGTGACCCTGTACACATTACAGCACCTTGTACATGTGACCCTGTACACATTACAGCACCATGTACATGTGACCCTGTACACATTACAGCACCTTGTACATGTGACCCTGTACACATTACAGCACCATGTACATGTGACCCTGTACACATTACAGCACCATGTACATGTGACCCTGTACACATTACAGCACCTTGTACATGTGACCCTGTACACATTACAGCACCTTGTACATGTGACCCTGTACACATTACAGCACCATGTACATGTGACCCTGTACACACCACAGCACCTTGTACATGTGACCCTGTACACATTACAGCACCATGTACATGTGACCCTGTACACATTACAGCACCATGTACATGTGACCCTGTACACATTACAGCACCATGTACATGTGACCCTGTACACATTACAGCACCATGTACATGTCACCCTGTACACATTACAGCACCATGTACATGTGACCCTGTACACATTACAGCACCTTGTACATGTGACCCTGTACACATTACAGCACCTTGTACATGTCACCCTGTACACATTACAGCACCATGTACATGTCACCCTGTACACATTACAGCACCATGTACGTGTCACCCTGTACACATTACAGCACCATGTACGTGTGACCCTGTACACATTACAGCACCATGTACATGTGACCCTGTGCACATTACAGCACCATGTACATGTGACCCTGTACACATTACAGCACCTTGTACATGTCACCCTGTACACATTACAGCACCATGTACGTGTGACCCTGTACACATTACAGCACCATGTACATGTGACCCTGTACACATTACAGCACCTTGTACATGTCACCCTGTACACAGTACAGCACC